CTCTCTCTCTCTCTCTCTCTCTCTCTCTCTCTCTCTCTCTCTCTCTCTCTCTCTCCCCTTTGCTTTCCTCTGTTTCTTCCCCTCCCTGCATTCTCTTCACTGCAGAAAGCGTCTCTCCTTTTGGAGGTGGGTGGGGGTATGATTACTGAGAGATCTAGGCTTGTATCATCTCGAGAATGAGATGCTCTCTCTCCCAGTTCAAACATATGAATCCTACTGGGGGAGGGGGGCAGGAGGTGGGTCCTGCTTGTCCTGAATTGGGTCACATGCGTATTGTCTCCACTGCCAAAGGTAAAGAAATACCATGATTGGCCAAGCTTGACACAGACCCAATCCTGTGACCAAACGTCAATGAGTTGGGGAGAGGCAGCCCCCTGTTGCAAGAAGGTCCTGTTACCAGATGAAGGGAAGGAAGACCAGGGAGACAAAATTGACAGGTACCTACTGTGGTGACAGAGCCAAATTCAGACACTGGCTTCCCTGATTTCAAAACCTCTGCTGTTCCTATGATCCCACGCTGATTCTAAGCATGGGATATGACAGGGTTGGAAACTCAAGAAGGCGAGCAGAGTGCATCTGCAATGATAGAGCATAAACTTCATAAGTCAAGGACAATGTCTGACTTACTCCTCAGTACCTGGCATATCCTAGGCCTTCAGTTAATGTTTATTAAGGGAGGACAACACAGGTTGATTGGCAAGAGAGAGAAGGATTCTGAGTTACTATCAGGGATGGATAGAAAAGAAGGCTGGGCCGGGCCGACGTGGCTCAGTTGGTCGAGCGCTGACCTAGGATCCAGGGGATCGCAGGTTTGATTCTCAGTCAGGGCACATGCCTGGGTTGTGGGCTCGATCCCCAGCAGGGGGCATACAAGAGGCAGCTGATCAATGACTCATCATTGATGTTTCTATCTCTCTCTACCTCTCCCTTCATCTTTCTGAAATCAATAAAAAAATATATATTTAAAAAAAAATTTAAAAAGGCTGGGATTGATTGATGGAGGCCATGGATGGACTTGGGTGGTGACTGTATTTGCTACATATTTGTTGACTCTGCTCTGTAACCAAGGTCCAGCACAGCAGGGCTTTCACTTTCTGTAACCTGGAGACTCTCCTGGTAGTGTTGTCACTGAATACCGTCTGTTGTTCCTTTGAAAGCTGGACTTCCAACTATGCTAGAGAACAGTGTTCAATTCATATTGGCCTAGTGGTATCGCTACCACTTGTAAGCTGCCATTCTGAACCTAATGCAGAGTCTGCTTGGGCCAAACACACTCTCTCTTGTCTGTCTTCCTCTGACCAGTGGCAAGCACCTGTGGTGAGTTCTCCACAAAGTGAAGAGCTATGGGGAGGGGGAAGGGGAAGACTGCCAACTTGAAAGTCAGAGACAGGGACGGTTCTAGTTCCATTTTGGTTGGTAATTTACTCAGTGATCTTGGGAACAGTAACTTGGCCTCTTGTTTTGGACTCAACTAATGTTCATCAAATGCCTTTCCCATTTTCATTTCATCCTTACAATTAGCCTGTAAGGTAGGAATTATTATGTTCATTTTGCAAATAGGGAAACTGAGACCCAAAGAGATTAAACTCAGGTGTCTAAGCTCCACTGTTCCAAGGTAACATATTGAGGATTCAATTCTGGGACTTCTTGGTCC